ATAACACTGAAGCATAGCCACCACTGTTTCAGATTTCGTGAGATATCTGATGTCGTTCATAGCTGGTTGGAACCATGATATCTTGGATTGGATTCAGGGAGTGTTAATGAACTAGTGGATGCTACAGCAGCAGAACTTCTCTTCATTTCATGTTATCTAGTGAAACACTGATCACCTCTGTGCTTCTCCCAACCATTCCTAAAGCTGACAAGAAGTAAGTAGTATCACATTCATAATGTGCCTAATCTTTGAAGGGGATCTTCAAGCCAAGTTGGTGGCTGTTTTTTCAGTCCTGAAGTTGCCTCGGATGCCAATACATATATGTCATTTGATATTGGAAAACCTCATTTAAGTTGCTTGCATGAGTTCTGTTCCATTATCTTTATTTCAATGAAAGATCTACTGACGATGAGTTTCCAGCTATTGGAATTGTGTGACACAAACGTTTTGAGAATATTTATTATAAAGAGTTTAGCTACTAATGAGTAGCCCAAACATTTATAAAACTTTTATGGATTCCTAGTCACATCTTTTTCTCCAGCGGATTGTGACAAAAAGTGAGTCAGTGTACTCATAAATTGTAACCTTGAGTTTAGTTATGAACTAATTCCATCACTTGTTACTCAAAAGCTGTTTCATATGGATTCATGCGTGAAGAACAATGGTTGTTATTTTAGTAGTGATTTCATAGGGAATTTAAATATGGAGAACCTGTTAGTTGAGGCAAACCATCCAATCAAGTCGTTTTGCCATTTCTACATAGTCAGATATAATTCAAAGAACTCAGTAGTAATCATCGTAATACATGCAACGATAATTGGTTCATCTGTAATGATCAAGCAATAAGGTAAGCACTTTCTGAATGTTTATTAGGATATTTGTTTGAGTACGAAGGTTTTTGAAGAAATGATAACAAGTTAATGGTTTGAAGAACACTAATTTTGGTAAGAAACATAAAATCTTGAGTAATGTCATATAGGAAGTGACTAAAATGGAAGTGAACTTTTTAAGTCGTTGACCGGTGACGTATAAATTTTCCAGATTCAAATCTTGGTCTAAGCTGCTGCGTGGTTTGGATAAATCTTACTGGAAAATTTTTAAACTTCATGGAACGGATCAAGATAAATAAGTTTATCCTTGACCTAGAGCCGTTTTATGTTTTTAGACACTATATGTGTTGTAAAATTATTAAATAAAGTCATCTTTACAGTTACAGGTTAGTGTTTATCTTTTGATATTTCTTGGCTTCGTGAACAGTCGTTATTATACCTGTCCAAGGATCTCATTGCGCTCACTGCCTTTATTACTTTAGCGTGCTATTCCACCTAGTCACTTAAATAGATTAACTATTCGTCATCAAAACCTGAAAACTCATAACTTGAAACTTCGGTTGATCATATACCTTTTGATGCAATCGGAGTGGAATATAGGCGTAGTAGCGAAAAATTTCTGGAAAGGTGTACAATCGAGTTTGTATTCGACGAAGATTATCTGATATTAATCGGATATTGGAAGCGAATGCCGTGGATTTGTTACTTAACGAGAAGAATAATTTCAAACGGAAATAATGTTATGGAAGCTGATAAGAGAAAATGAATAAGCTGATATAAAAGTACAAAAATGTTGGGAGACTAACATGGAGGAACAAAGCGAAATGAAACTAGAGAATAACTTTGGAACAAACAGGAAATTACCACAATGATTATGATAAGACTAATGAGTGTGTGCAATATCATAGAGCATAAAGGTCAAGCTTGCAGTTCTGAATCTCCAATGATGTGATTAACTTTCTTCGGAGTTATAAATGGCGCCTTTATAAGTCACTTTTAATGAACTTTTCGCCTGGATCAGATGTGCGGAGATGACAAAATTTTCAAGAATAAAACCACTGACACTGATTTTTTTCGAGAGCTAAGTTTGGTGATTTTGTGAAATACGTTTTTGGATTTTGACATTGTATATGGCCAGTGTATGTTGCTGTGTATGAGTAAGTAATCTGATAGATGCGTATTAAGGGAACCAACAGTGGTATTCAGTCCTTGATATACTGACAGATTAATGGTTAACTGAAGTATACGATTGTGGCCCTGGTTTCTTTAAATGTCTTACTCAGAGATCCTAAGATATGATATTCAGGGATTTTAGCTTCATTTCGACTGATGAATTTCAGCTTCATACTTATGGTTGTCTTTGAGACAATTAACAAACGAAGTATTCCAGCCAAGGTATTTAGATGGCTATTTTCATTTCACCTTCAATCATCACCCAGTAAAAATGTATCCTACATTTATTAGGAAGGCTGGCTATTAGATATAGAATTGTATTTGTGTAAATCACAGAGGGTTTGATAGCAAATAATTCCAACGTTTCGCACGGAAATCTGGTCCGAGCTCCTTTAGGGAAATAATCAAAATTAAAATATCAAGGATATATAAATGAATTCAAAAAAAGTATATTTAATCTCCTCATCCAATCTTCTTCCTATAGTCATTGTCTTCCTGAATTATGATAACTAATCATTCAGTATGAATTGTATGTCTTTCTGTTGCATGACGTATGTATGTATGTATGTACTCCAAATCATACTCGTCTTGATAGTAAATATCAGACAAAAAGGGGATATTGCAGACAGTCATTCGGCTAGGGTTTTTTATAAGTACAAATTGATAGGCATGATATGAATGTATATAAAATTTCAGCTGAAGTAAATTGGTGAATAGTGTTAGCGAATTCTCTCCGCATTGATTTACAGATATAGAAGGTAAATGAGTGGTGGTTATGATGGTGTTGGCCGTGATGATGATGATGTTGATGGTTGTAATAAGGATGTTAAAAATGATATTAATCAATCAGATCGGAGCAGGTTGTGTTGTTGTTGATGCAGAAATAATGGAGTTTCGATCAGTGTTTTTAGTCACTCCTTCTGGTTATTAATTACTAATTGCCAAGAGGCGGCTAATTGTACTCCGTCCCGTATGTTCAGACTGCCTGGATTCGCCCATATATGTTGGGACTCGGCTGTCAATCTTTCTTGTTATGACCAAAAACCTTTTTGTAGAGCCTTAGTTCCGTCAAAGTCAATTTTCTGTCGCATTTCTATGGTGTGTAACGTGATCGCGGATTTGTTTTCTAGTTTCCTAACCTCTGCTGAGCTTTTTGGATCTGCTTTAAGCATATTTTATGCTCATTGACTCTAACATTTACCTGTCTGGCTGTTTCCTCTACATATACTGCAGTACAATCTCCGTATTTGATTTCATAGACGCTGTTCTTCTGATTTTCTTTAGGTAATACATCTTTAACTTTCATTAAGTTAGAACGTAGGGTATTTGTTGCACGGAAGTATACTCTTATGTCGTGTTTGTTGAGAATCCCTTTTGTCTCTTCTGAAGTCTCCTTTCTGTATGGGATTGAGACCGTGGTTGTCCAATTCTTCGGAAGGATTTTCGGGACATCCTTAATTTCTTTTTTTATAATACGTCTTACGAAACCTTTGGGATAATTGTTTACTTCAAGTGTGCGGCACACTAACTTTAATTCTTCTTTATGGTCCTCTTCCGTTGTAACAAGACGGTTAGCCCTGCTAATCAAATTCCGTACGACGAGGAGATTAAATATACGTTTTTTGAATTCATTTATATATCCTTGATATTTTAATTTTGATTATTTCCCTGAAGAAGCTCGGACTAGACTTCCGCGCGAAACGTTGGAATTATTTGCTATCAAACCCTCTGTGATTTACACAAATACAATTCTATATCTAATGTCAACCTTTTACTCAGTGCCCAATATTTGCCATACTATACGATCAAATCTTGATCATAGTTTTTATAGAGACTTTGGCTAGTTAAGAAACTAAGATGGTTAGGATTCAGATAATTAAGTCAAGATTATGAAACTCAATGCTGTCCTGCTTGAACTTGTTCTCGGTGTATTTTTGAATTCATTAAGAGAAAGAGTTGTATGAAGTTGTTGGCTTTACTTATTTCTCTACAAATGATCATATTTGGCAATGTAACCTGTGATCATAGTTAATCGACTTTCAATTAACTGCTACCTTGTATTGATAAATATCTACTTATGAAGCGGTTATTTGTTACGATGACTTCTACGAAGCCAATGAAAGAAAGAAAACTAAGGTGAATTGATATGATTAACTACTTTTGCATGAGGTTAAGGATGTGTTTTTGTAAGCATGTGAATGAACTTCCTTGAAGTAGGAGTAAGGATACTATACATGATTACACTAACACATAAAAAGGGGATGAATTAATGGCAATATATTGAGCAGAACAAGTTATGTGTATTTTTACTGTCTGTTTATCTATTTGTTTGTTGTTAGTTCTCTTCAAATTTGTTTCCTTTTACTATATCAACTCACATAAGGTTTAGCCAAAGTGTTGTTATCATTAGGATTTGTCTTTCTTTCATTGTCTGTCTCCTAATGTATAAAATTTTAGAACTCTCAAGTCTTGTATTTTGTCATGGTTTGATGAAGAGGGTACATTAGTGGATAGATAGAAAGATAGATATATAGATAGATATGTAGATAGAAAAGTTGACCGTATTCTTATATCTCTAGTTGATCTGTGTTCCTGTTTAAGCACGATCGATAAACCCATGTGTCTGTCCTACTACCTCTCATTCATATCAATGTATATACTTAAGAGAATAGTAATTATTATTATACTAGTAACAGTAATATTTGCTTTGGAAATATCTTTGGACAATTTATGTGTGGATATGTGTTCGTGTTTGGAGGTATATATGAATAGTAAGTAAAATTCACTCACTCTCTTACTCCCTTATATGAAAGTTGAATTTTAGAGTTCAGTTTACTCTGGTTCCAATGAATTGCTTCATTTTTCTTTCAAATCAATTTTGAAAAAAATATAAAGGTGATAATTTCACTGTATACTGTGCAGGTTGAATAGTATCACTATGCAGATATTATCTTTAATCAGTTGTTATTCAACAAACATATTAATATCTTCAAAATGATGACGAATATAACGCCTTTAATGCAATCGGCATCACCACAGTCACGTCGTTCAAGTTCTCTTTCAACACTTGGCTTATATAATACTAATGTTACAAATACAATTAATAATCCTCACAATAGTGGTAATCTTTTGCATAATAATTCAACTGCAGTTAATCTATATACAAGACAATATACACAAAAAAAGAAATCAAAACGATTTCGATTAGTTAGAACACCGATTCCATTAAATCCAGTTTATCGTAAAACATTATTCTTAGCTATAATTATACCATTTATCGGTGCACTACTATTTATTGGTGCTACTTTAACACCACATTGGGAAAATGTTCATTTCAAGTTTATTAAAATACTTGAAATGTTTTCAATTCATCAAAATTGTTCATCATCAAATAGTAATGAGAATTATAATAGTCAAAATCGTTCATTTATTAGTCAAACAGAATTAATGATAATGGATTATGAAAAACAATGGACAAATCATAATTATACACTAGAATTTATTATCTTTTATGATGGTAAAATATTAAACTGGCAAAAATTAAAAAATCATTATCAAAATTGTCTTACAATTACATATAAAATGAATGAGATTATTGGTATTGTTGTACATTCAGATATACACATCACATCGAGTGGAAGTAATACTCCGAAACATTCATTACGTGAAACAGTAACCCCTAGACTATTCAATCGTAACAAGTATACATTCACACGACAAGAATGGATTCAGTTAGTTGAACATGGTGATTTATTAGATGATAATAATGATGAAGAGATGAATAAGAATTTATGGTTAATTATGAATTTACAAGCCGGTATATGGACAATGTGTTTTCGATTAGCAGGTGAGTAGGATATATTTACATTACTTTTAATGGGATGACTATTGTGACCAAGTGACCTAGGGAATAAAGCTTTGGGGTTTGAAGAGATAGGTACTGGGTTTGAATCACAGTGGGAACAACATCACTCATTAGGGTACAGATATATCCGACTGATAAGTCCTAAATAGGACGAAATGCACATCAAGCTGGATTTAACTGCTAGTCATCAAGATGAGGATTCCTTGTTTTGTCATGAATTAATATGGTTTCAAGGAAGTTTTTAGTCAAGCATTGAAAAAAACCTGGAAACATAATGAAATCCTGGAAACGGTGAACAGCTATTTCATCCATATTTTCAAATCAGTAGGTGAGCATCAGTGTGGTCTCTGGCATTATCAGGTAACGGTCCGAGTTGCGACGACTCATACTGACACATCAAATGGGAATTTACTATGATCGAAGATTAAAAAAATCAGAAACAGAGTAGTCAAAAGTGTTAGAAATGCGTAAAAAGAGAATGAGATGGAATGAAACTATAATGAAGTTCAGTATGAATTTTAGGATGATTTTGAATGCACTTGGGCCACTGAGGTCGATCCATAGTTATTTTAAACAAGGTCTAAAACCACCTATTCCTGTTTTGAAGTGGGTTCCAACCCAGCAGTCTAAATTTCCCTACCCAACTCATACCAACAGCAAGAGATTTCATGGACTGGTACCAAGTTTGAGTCTGACCACCTCTAATGGTTTCCCAGCCCAATTTAGCTAACATTGCACGACAAGGTAGACAGCAACTAGGTGTGCGTAATCATGCCTTATCCACCTGAGTCAATAAAGACTCATGACTTCATCAGTTAATTTCTCTCCTCTATCTAAAACCCTACGCCTGACATCTACGTTACTGACATGATGGCACCAGGTCACATGGCATGTGATACGAAAGCAACGGTGGTCGAATACTTCGAATCTTCTCATATCTTTTACCTTCAATTGCTATGTTTCACAGCCATATGGTAGAATGGGGGGAACTACATCACAGTTCACCTGGACCTTAATGGTCGATTAGATATCACAGGGGTGCAATAAGTAACATGTTTGAGAAAGTCAAGCAATCAACCCATCCCAAACATTTTCAAACTGCTAGTCAGGGTGTCCATAAGACTCTGCATCTTGTCAGCATCTTTATCTAGCAGGACTGTATCAAGTAAGAATTTTAGATCTACCAAGGATTGTTCTGGGACTAAATTAATCCCTGTGGAGTTAGATGACATGGGGAAGACGTCTATAAGAACATCTGTGAAAAGACTAAACAGAAATAAGGATAGTGGATATCCTCGAAGGACACCATTCGGTGAACACAACTCATCGTAAGCTCAAACACACCGATGGGTTTTCGTCTAAACAGTCTTCAGCAGACTGATGTATTTATTCGGTACTCCTTTCACTGAGAGACACTATCATAAGACCTGTTGATTGACAGAGTTAAATGGTGTCTTCGAGTCAGAAAACAAGTGTGCCTATGTTCCAGAATCTGGTGGGGTGTAAATATCTCTTCGATGCACCCACGGCCTGGTCCGAAGCCCGATTGGTTTCTTGAGTTTACTGTTCCCAAGCTCCAGTTAGATGCTGAGTGTCCACAGAACCTAGAATATTTTATATATATATATATATATATATATATATATATATATATATATATATATATATTTCTTTAAGCTTATCACAAGAGGATTTCTCCTCTTTCCCGAAGACTAGGACAATCAGTGACTGCGGCCAATCAGAGAGGATCGTGGCTGACTCATATACGTCAGCTAACACTTCAGTTAACCTGATGAACTATCCATGAGCACCTTCGGTGCTAGTCATCTCAATCTTCTGGCCTTCCTTGTTACAGGTTACTTACAACTTTCTCGTCTGCCGCAAGTTTTAGAAGTCCTTTCTCAGTCTTTCATACACGATGCGACTGAATAGATGCAACTAAATAGTAGCTTGGGGTCAACTGAACTGTTTCTTGAAGTGTTCGGCCTATCATTCTAGTCGCCTCCCCCGCAAGTAAATACCAGATCCATTCTTATCCCCAATGTTTCTACTAACCGTTGACCTTTAGCCTAAGTTTCATTGATAAATCTAAGTAACTGTCCACTGCTACCTATGGCAGCTGTATATTTCATCTCTTTAGCCTTCGGTCTCCACCACTGATCGGACTCACTGGGTACACTTTTGCCAGTTTGTGATTGAGTTACCTTAGCTCCTCATTGCACTTGGAACCCGGAAGAATGCTTTCGTGTGGATTCATTTATTCAGAAAAAGCTGTTGAAATTCACTGGCTCTTTTTAACCATTCCCTGAGAGTCGACTACCGGTCTTCAGTGGTGTTTTTGCTGCAGACTGAAGGTGGCTCTAAGCTTCTTTTAGATGAGTGAAGCTGTTCTGTTTCGACTAATGTCTATTAAATTCTCCTTTCAAAATGGATGTCGTATTTGCATCGCTGAGTTTCCATGGGAACGGTCTTACAGCAGTGGTTTTGATACACATTCACTTAAGCACAGATTTAGATGTTCCTGGATCAACGTGGTGTCCAAAGCAGTGCTTCAAAAATAACAGTAATCTTTCACCGACCATCTCAATAGATAGCTGATAGCAGTGTGGTCTATCTATGTCCATCGTTTGATCAGAAGACACCACGTCACAGAACTTTCTCCAAGTCTGAAGATCGTGTTGGCTGGAAATAAATGGTTATCGGAGCACTTTTGTAGCAGGCTATCATCATCATCTGTTCGTGCAACTGGGATTTCCAAAGTGTTTTTTGATTCAATTAAAATGATTTTAATCTTATGAAAACAATGCATTTTGTCCTTCCAATCGATATTTTCCTATCTAATAGATTAGAGTACGAGAGAATGTTTTAGGCTGAGTATTGCAACTGTTTTAATTGCGAGCAGCTTATGTGAATTAATGAGATGGAATGATTTCATATTATTTAGAACAAGGATAATTTGAGTGTACAGTTGTTTTCAATAACTTAATCTTCAGGCTCTACAGTTATAATTCATATTAGATTTGTTTATTTGATATAAAGCGCACAGTGATACAGTATTATTTACTTGATTACGTTTCAAGCATAAATTAGTGCTCATAATCAAATCAATGTAATCACACTTCTTTCGATATCTGATTTTATAGTCCTGTCACCTGATTTTCCTTTGTTGTTTGTTTTTTTGATTGGTAGTAAGGTTTTCCATATCTCTGGTGGAGGTGTTGTGTCATTCCTATTACATGTATTGGGTGTAGATTCAATGAACAAAGATTCAGTAATTAATCTCTCTCTCCACCTAGTTATATTAGACTTAAGTACAGTGGTTTTGTCCCACCCTATTGTGTGGTTGTGTGTAAATGAATGTAATGCAATGGCCGAGTGTTTTTCTAGATTATTGATCTTATTGGGGTCTATCCTTCTATGTTGAGTTAAATTCCTATGTTCTGCTAATTTAACTGACCCCGACGGCTAGTTTGACCTATATATTTGACCTCACAGTTATTACATGGAATTTGGTAGATTATATTATTTTGCCTAATTGGTTCTATCGGATCTTTTAACCGACAAAGCTTACCTCTAAGTGAGTTTGTTGGTTTCAATGCCACCCTAATTCCAACCTTGTTGAGAATCCTACGTATGGTTTCTGATGTTCCTTCCTTGTATGGTATCACAATAGAGGTGTTGATTTCCTTTCTACTTATGTTGTCACTATTATTTGTATTTGTATTAGTGTTATTATTTTGCTTCTTATGTGTCCATGTGACTTTCTTAACAAAATGATGGGGATAATTATTAATTATTAACACTTCTTTTGTGTGTTTTAATTTCTTATTTAAGTCCTTACAATGACTAGTGAGTTTCTTAGCTCCGTTATTTAGATATTTGACTAAACCCGCTTTAACTGACACTGGATGAGATGACTTGAAGTCTAGATACTTGTTAGAATGTGTTGTAGACGGTTAAACTAGCCGGTCGGGGTCAGTTAAATTAGCAGAACATAGGAATTTAACTAAACATAGAAGGACAGACCCCAATAAGATCAATAATCTAGAAAAACACTCGGCCATTGCATTACATTCATTTACACACAACCACACAATAGGGTGGGACAAAACCACTGTACTTAAGTCTAATATAACTAGGTGGAGAGAGAGATTAATTACTGAATCTTTCTTCATCGAATCTACACCCAATACATGTAATAGGAATGACACAACACCTCCACCAGAGATATGGAAAACTTACTACCAATCAAAAAAAACAAAAACAAAGAAAATCAGGTGACAGGACTATAAAATCAGATATCGAAAGAAGTGTGATTACATGGATTTGATTATGAGCAATAATTTATGCTTGAAACGTAATCAAATAAATAATACTGTATCACTGTGCGCTTTATATCAAATAAACAAATCTAATATGGAATTACATTCTACCACAGTGCCCAAGTTTTTCACTTCTACAGTTATAAACCTATGAGAATGAGTGAAATACAGTAACCAAAATAATGTATGATGTATAGTTATTATCATATCGAAACAGTCAGTATTATCGGTGAATGGAGATGAAATCGAATGGAAAGGTGGAATTGTTATAAGTTTAGTGTGTTAGTTGTGCAATAAAATCAATATTGACAAAACAACTACGAAATGAGGAGTCAAAATCTACAGATAATGATTCATGTATATGCATTAATTGGGGCAAGATTGTGTGTGTATTTGTTTACTAAGGGTCAAATAATAACTATGTACTGATGAGTTATATTCAGGTGGAATGAAAATCATGTGAAGAAATAGAGAATAACAAATTTGAAGTGGAGAATGACTACTGGTAGTGGTATGAATAAAGAAGGACGTAAAGCTAATAACATGAATGTTTATCAATGTAATGATAATATAAAAGAAAGGAATGGGGGGTTAAAATGTGCAATGTGTGGTAGGAAAGTTCATCAAGAACGTGTCGACCCTATTGTGGACCAAGGTAAACAAAGTGGATGTATATATTTCTTTTGAACACATAGGTTGAGTTTTCTTGCGTCAATACCTTTGGCTTCATCTACGGATAAGATGCTATGTTGTGTATCATTAGGCATGATCTACCCTAATCTTATGTCCGGTGTCTACCAGATGTGAGAGGATTACACTGCTGATGCTCTTTGTCATTCCTTTCCCTAACCAAGATGGTACGTGCTCACGAGCACACGTGGATAGAGCCATTTGAGTACGACCTATGTAACTAGCTCCACATGAGCAGTTGAACTCATAAATGCATACTGAAGTCGCCATCATGGTAACCTGTCATTGATTTGCTGTGTCAGAAATGGTTTGTATGAGAAGCTGACAAAAGTTTCGCTGCACTGAATGCCTTTTCGACCGATCCACTTATTCGATGTGCTAATATATATATATATATATATATATATATATATATATATATATATATATATATATATATATATATATATATATATAGCATTTTCAGTATCCTTTGTAACGTATTTAAATGAACTGCTTGATATGCTTGAACTAACTTCAGAGACAGTCATCAGATGCTTGTTCTACTTGGCTTTGATTACTGAAACGTGATAGTGATCAGTTTCAATAGTTTCGAAAACTTAGAGAATCCGCTATCGCTTGGCCATTAATAATAGTTTTGAATAAACTGATTTCAAAGAAAGGTCGTTGTAAATCTTAGCTATATGATGCTAAATCTGACTACTTTATGAATGAGTAATTTGAAGAAAATATTCGGTCATCTCAGTGATAACACTGACACACAATCAAATTGTTTGGTGAGCCAAAGTACAGTATTCAAAGGCAAATATAGAAAGGTGAAGAGATAGGTTGATAGATAGATTACCAGTTGTTTGTTAATCAAAGCAACACCTATTGCACACAGTAAGGATGATGCAAAACCCACTCTGAAAATGTGTGGAATTGTGATGTCATTGAAACTGAAGGATGAAAAAGGGAGGAAGTAAAGCAGCCAAGTTTAGAAAATCACTTGGATACATTGATACCACTATAAGTACCAAACAATGCCCAACTCATCATCAAATAAATGATTCTGTTTCATTGCAAGCGACTTAGCAACTTACATCCAGTGTCAGTGGTCTCAGTTCACTCCATCATTACATTTCATATATGGGATGGAACGAAAGATTTTTAGGTCATCCTGTTCGATCAATGAATTGGAATTAAACGACTTAAATCTTCTAACTTCTACTGGATCGCAACGGTACGGGATGATCATCCTTCAGGGTTTTTGGTGGCTACCAAAATTACTCTGGAATGGAGGACTCCACAAGTTGTGAAACCTTTCTTCAGGGTTCTCAACCATATCTACAAGACAGTCACTGCAAGGTAATAACTAATGGCATCCATATTGTATTGTAAATTAACTGAAGATAGAAATTGTGGGTCACTGGACTCTAACTTAGTGGCTGAAAAAACCTGCCTAGTGAGAAATCTGGTGGTCATAAGGTAGAAAATATATAAAGTCGTGGATCCACACAACTTACTTCTTGAACTAGGGTGAAAAAGGCTGTCCATTATTTTTCAGTGGTTCTATTAACTATGTTTATGCACATGTATCAATCTTAATACAATTTTTCTTCAAATTCAACTTTTCAGATGCTTACAAGGCTAAAATTCGTGCCTACAGTGCAAATATACATCCGGACTCAAATATTCCACTTGATTGTATTTCTTATTTACAAGCTAATTTATCAGAGACAAAAAATTTATGTAGTCAGTTTCTTCTGAGTAAGTTTAGTCTTGTTATCGCTTACAATATGTTTGGATTATGTTAGTTACGATATATGTAATAATGAATTCCCGGGGGTAATGGCTTTTTTTATCGTAGAAGTTATTTAAACTGCTCTGTCAATCATTCTTGATATGAAAACTAATGTAACTAACGAGGCACGAACAAATTTCAGTTCGAGGGCATGAACTGACCTTTATTTAGTATAATTGCTTGTATTATACTGTCGTTGAATGGACCGAATTGATCGGTCTCTGTGGTATATAGGCTGCTGTGCGGATGTCTTGATATTACCTGTGTATGCGGTATAATACCAGTAATTATGCTAAGGAAACTGTACCCGTTGCATGACAAGCGGCTATCATGGCTTGGTGTTGCATAAGATTACGCTGTGGCGTTTGAAGCAATCACTACCGAGTCCGAATCCCGGTGGGAACAATATCACTCACTGGGAGACAGGTACATCTAGCTGACGAGTCCCAAATAGGACTAAATGCGCGTCCTGGATTCCACTGCTAGCCATTATCCATCATGAACTTTGTTTGTGTTAATGATATCGCTTAAATGCTGTAACGTCGGTAAGGAGAATATGATTCATGTTGGCGACTCAGAAGATGAAGGTACACCGCTAACGATATTTGTTAAGGTTTGTGCAAGTTGATGAGTACAAAAAATCTATATTCTTTATTAAACGACTGCATCCTAGCTAAATTTTATTTAAAAAAATACTCCCAGGCTGCATATTAGTATTGCTTTGCTGTGACACATTTTAATAGGTAACTAGCCGTCTCTTGGACAACATGTTTAACAATTACGGAAGCTCCTGTATCAAGAGGGATAGGATGAGAACCTGACAAAGAGAACACTTTGTCTATCGACATTTTTAGTGGTAATAATTGCTAGGTCCATGGTAGTGAATAGCTTCAACTAAATGAATGCTAAAGATTTTATGAATTATTAGTAGAAGAGTACAGATCTTGTGGGAATGGCGTTTAAGGGTAAATTAAATTCATTCATCTTATAAAAGTACATGTAGGGACTGTGAAACGAAACAGAATTATTGACCTTGACCTAATTGAACAGTTTAAGTATTTTCTTTTATTGTTATTATTTTTCCCTTGGGTTCATAGTGGAATATATAGCTTCAGTAGCATGCCTCCAGTCCAATCCCCTCTCTGCAGTATTTTCAATCTGGCACCACAACTGACCACTAACTCTCATTTCTCCCTCACATGATCTCCTCCATGTCACCCATGTCACCTAGGACACCCAACTCATAGTTTCCCATTTGCGTCCCACTGGAAGGCATCGCCTCACTCCTCATGTCCCCAATCAGCCTTCTCAGTGTAGGTCCAATCCATCTCCACTCTCTTCTTCTGCATATTTGTTGGGTGGTAGGTTCTTGGTTGATTCGTTGCCAGCCAGCCAGCCAGCCAGCCAGCCAGCCAGCCAGCCAGCCAGCCAGCCAGCCAGCCAGCCAGCCAGCCAGCCAGCCAGCCAGCCAGCCAGCCAGCCAGCCAGCCAGCCAGCCAGCCAGCCAGCCAGCCAGCCAGCCAGCCAGCCAGCCAGCCAGCCAGCCAGCCAGCCAGCCAGCCAGCCAGCCAGCCAGCCAGCCAGCCAGCCAGCCAGCCAGCCAGCCAGCCAGCCAGCCAGCCAGCCAGCCAGCCAGCCAGCCAGCCAGCCAGCCAGCCAGCCAGCCAGCCAGCCAGCCAGCCAGCCAGCCAGCCAGCCAGCCAGCCAGCCAGCCAGCCAGCCAGCCAGCCAGCCAGCCAGAGTTCCTTGTTACTTATTCTCACCATTCCGGCCATCTGATCTTCAGTAACGAGCCAGCATAGGTGGCAGTTGTTGATGAATGTCTGTACTTTGTTGAAAATGCTTTCCGTGATACGCCAAGTTTATGAACCATGTGGCAGCACTCACTAACTTGATGTTGGTGTTGAAAATCTGAATCTCATTCACGCTTTGTGCTGAGTGCAGTAGATCTCCACACTGATTTCAGGTTAATGAAAGCCTGTCTCACTTTTCCTATCCCGGTTTTGACATCTTCGTCTGTGCCTGTACCTCCTGTAGTTGAAACGATGCTGTCCTGCCTGGGTAGGTGGGTAGGTGCAAGAGACTACTTCTTTCATGTTTCTCCAGTTAATGGTGATTGGTGCTTGTTATTGTTGATGCTGTTGTTGGTTGGTTATCTCCATCACCTCTGTCTCCTTCACGTTCACTTGAAGGAAGTCCCGTCTTCGCTGTCCTGTCCTGCCCTGCCCTGCCTCTTCTGTCAAGTTGTGGGTTTTCGCCTGTAGATCTTCAAGTTTGTGCGACATTAGACACAAGTCATTGGCGAAATTCAAATCTCCTAGTGTCGTTTGATGGATCCGGCGTATGCCTCTCTTCTCGCTCTTCAAGGTTTGTTGCATGATCCAGTTGACCACAATCAGGAAGATTATGGGTGATAATAGGTAGGACCGGCTAGTAACTAGTGAACTAGTTAACCAGGCGAGTTTAGTATTTTCTTCTGAATGAAGTTTATTCCACAGAAGGAAACACAAAATTTCAGAGTGGAACTTCATAACAGTGTATAATCAATCATATAACGAAATGTTTAGTGACTCTGATGAACAAAGATGAACTAATTTCTTGAAACGTCTGCAGCTTCATATCAGTCCGGTTACAACACGGATTGATGGACCAAATAAAGAGACCATAATCATCACAGTGTAATGAGATGACGTAAAGTTGGACAAAATAACTTTGAAAGAACCTTTTTTATATTACGACTAGATTTCTGGTAAAATAGTTTAAACGTCAAATATCTAGGACAAAAGATAGTCTATGAAGTAAGTAGTATTATTTCTGGTTATCTTTTGTTCTCACTGACATTTCCTGTCGTCTAGATTTAAGAACTTAAATACCAGTCGTATGTTCTACAGCTAAAAATGTTATGCACTGCAAATAAGAGAAAACAAGAATTACCAAATAAGGAGGATAATCGATCAGTTACAAAGTTGTATAAATCAATTATTGTTGATTGTATGGGGAGATTGATAGGATGAGTATGGATACCATACAGTATGATGTGACTGTGATATCAGTGATTAGATGAACGAACTAATGGAGTAACTGAATGCACTCGATTTACAGCTATTTCCAGTCTAAGTAATGATCAGGAAGATAAACAAATACTTTGTAATTTATCTTGCATCCCATATAGTGTTGTATCACCGATCGTAATTTAGTCAGACAAAACTGCTGCTTATATGCATTGAATGAAGGTTAAAACAGGAATCAGACTAATACACCTGAAAATGTACACTTGATACAGAGCAATGATTCTAACAAGACAATCAGTGTACGTCTGCGTTGATATCTATCATATCCGTAAGATTATGAACCTTTGGCAAGTTAAGGGCTTGAAATATATGTTACAAATATCTAGCTTTTCCTAACATGCTAAGCTACCTGAAATAGCAGCATTTTGAAGGAAGCTGGAATAAATATAATCAAAACCAGTGATAGCGACAATGCATATTTTCCCAGTCCCTTGATCCTAGTGTAATCTTCCCTATAGATAACCGTAAGATAATTGGAACAGCGAGTTTTGCAGTTTACACGATACGGCTAAAGAAAACTGATTGGTAGTGATACCGATTTAGTCATGCTTTATGTTCCTTTAAATCTTGAGTTTTTATCATCATCGTAAACCTTTCGTTATCTGTTCTAACCTGACCAATTCGTCTACTACTGTACCTAACGATCTTCTCATCTCCTTGTTGTTTTTACTTGATGTTTTGATGTCAGGTGAATGAACATTGAGATATTTATGACACTGCCTCTTGTTTTGGACAAGAATTCAAATTACACTAAAGATAAATTTAGTTTCGCTTATCCTCATTTATTCTCAGTTAACGCATTATTGACGGTAGTTCTAATGAAGTTATGATAACAATCGTCAAGGCACTGATCTTCATGATGATGATCGCCTTTTATGAGCCAATCCTCAGCTCAAATATAACAACTATGCGTCACTCAACAGTTTGAATTCGGATGTTAATATGTGACGAAACCTACACTGTTGGTATTTCTTCCATTTTTTGATAAACATTCTTACTAAGTGAATACAGACTAGCAAAGACATAAGTACACCTTCATAAGAAGCGACATATAAAAGCAATAGAACAGTAAAATAAAATAACACTGAGCTGAAAAAGAAACTGTTTAGGTTATTTAAATTTAGCCATACGATTCCACCAAATTTATTATTATTATTATTAGTCCCTTGGGTTCCTAGTGGAACATAGGGCTTCAGTAGCACGTCTCCAGTGAATTCTGTTCTCTGAGATCTTTTGAACCTGGTTCCACGACAGTCCACAAGCTCTCATTTCCTCCTCGCACGACCTCCTCCATGTCACCCTCACCTCGGACGCCCAACTCGTCGCTTCCCATGGGGATTCCACTTGAGCAACTGGCCTGGCATGTGGTGTCTTCAGTTGGCCTTCTCAGTGCATGTCCAATCCATCTCCACTTCCTCCTGCATATTTGTTGGGTGATAGGTTCTTGGTTGGTTCGTTCCCAGAGCTCCTTGTTACTTATTCTTTCTGGCCATCTGATCTTCAGTAGCGAGCCAGCGTAGGTGGCAGTTGTTGATGAATGTCTGTAGTTTATTGGAAATACCTTTCGTGACGCGCCAAGTCTCTCAACCATACAGAAGCACTGACTTGACGTTGGTGTTGAAAATCCGTATCTTGTTCCGCATGCTGAGTGCAGAAGATCTCCACACTGGTTTCAGGCTAATGAACACCTGTCTTGCTTTTCCGATTCTGACTTTGACGTCCTCGTCCGTCCCGCCTGTAGTTGAAACAGTGCTTCCTAGATAAGTGAAGGAGGTTACTTCCTTCAAGTTTCTCCCGTTGATGGTGATTGGAGTTTGTTGTTGTTGTTGATGGTGGTGGTGCGGTATCTTCATCACTTCTGTCTTCTCTATATTCACCTGAAGTCCCGTCTTCGC